TCTTAATTTATAAGATTTATCAAATCTTTAAAGAAACTTTGTAGAATATTATACGGTATAAATTGCTAATAAAGATAGTTTAAATATTTAATTATAATTTAGTTAAAAATTTTTTATATTTAAGTTTATTTCGTTTTTTAAATTACTGTGATCGCTCACCACGCAGAAATTTACAAATTCTTCATTTTTTACAAATTGCCATTTAAAAAATAACAATTCCAAAGATTCCTTGCCGAATACTAACTTTTTGTTATAGAATAAATTATTATATTATGTCTTGTGATAGTTAATCATGTGTTAATAAAAATTCCTACAAATTTTAAACGAAGATATTACTATAATGTTCTTTTCATTTTTAATATTCAAAGCCAGGTATAAAAATTGATTAATGTAATTTTGAGCCAATCACAAGTCTGTATTTTACATTATTCTGATTCTCAGATTCCCGTGTGGTGTAAGATATCTTTTTTAAAACTTTAAGCAAAACTAATTGGCTGGAGCTGAGAGGAGCGAAGTGAAAGCCTTAAAGCCTTATTCTATGAAATTTCAAAATGTCCGTTCCGATTTAACTGACCCTGATTTAGGTTCAGCAGTCGGAAATTGAGCCTAAATCAGGTTCAACATCTTGATACTTAAATCTTAGTTTAAAATATAGAAACTGGCTTTAGTTTAAAAATAAATAAAAAAATAGCATAGTAAAAAAATTTATAAATATACTACCATTAACTTTTTGAATAACAAAATTATACATCAACAAAAATTAATCACTAATAAAACCGCATGTAATTCACGATAATAAAAATTCTTTTTCAATTTTTAAATCGCAAGAGCATAAATTTACACGCCTGAGAAAATAGCCATAAATAACAAACTACGATAAAAGAAAACGAATAAATTTAATGATCTAAGAACAACGGTTAGCTTATAGAAACAATGAATCTAAAGATGCTGGTGAAATAAAACTAGAGTGGTGTAATAATTTTACCACTACTGGTGAAATTGGTGGTGAATTGGTGAAATTAATTTTACCAGCATCTCTAAATGAATTACAAAAAAAGACAAGAAAACATCAAATTAACGCAAATGACTATATTAAAGAGAACAGAAATGAGCATACAAATAAAGAAACCAACATAAATTAGGAAGGGCTCCACTCTCACAGTCTACAGTAATTATGATTGAAATGGATAAGCATACGGGTCCAACATTATTTATATTGAACCATAAAGTAGTACCAATTCGACCTATTAAATACACTTGGGAGGGAAATTCAGGAACTTGCTCTCACATGCAGTTTCCTTTATGTCTAGAATTGAATTACAGTACTAATATTAAATACATAATTAACAACAATTATCTCATCAACGCAAAATAAATAAACTATTTTTGAATAGAACTCTTCCTACTCAGGCTCTTTGTATTATAGCATTTATTAAACATTCTATAGCCCCTTGAATTTTTAAACTACTGTAAATAGATTCATTGTCTGATTTAGGGTATTCTCAAGTGTCTCACTTAAAATACCACTTCAATTAATTACAATTTGGTGATGAACACGCGAGTGATCGACGTGGGTTTTCTAGGATTTTCGCATCCACTAAGTGCAATGATTAAGCAATATCTTGATTATTTTCAAAAATGCCTTTATTGTATTATAATCTAGTAAAATACCAGTGATATGATATACGTAAATCATATTACACTGTGCTGAAGATTGAAATGTCTCTAAGGGTATTAGGAAAGTATAGTAAAGCACATGATCCACTACGCTAGATCACATTTAGTTTTAAAATTATTAAAATTATTACTAATATTTTAATATATTTTATATTTTCATATTTATTCCTACGTTTTTAAAACAACTTTCGATTTACATAGATTAAATTTTTTACTTCTTACATTCAGGACGAGATTTTTGTACAATAGTTTTACTCGTGATAAAAAGACGAAAAAGGCCAGTAATGACATAAAAATGTTTGTGATAAAATGTCTAAAAAGAAAAATATTTATACGTAGCGAAGAAAAAATACTCTTAATGGCATAAAAAGATTTATAATGAAAAACGAGAATATTAATAATGAATGTTCATTATGAAAAAAAGAGAATTTTTATAATGAAAACTGTTCTAACAAAAAATAAAGTTCATAATGAAAAACGAAAATTTATAATAAGAAATTTTATATCATATAACGGAAATTGTTCAAGATTATTTTAAAATTAAGCAGTTAATACGGTTAAACGATTAAAAAAATTTATGACGAAAAATTTTTTGTGCCATATAAAATGTTTAAAATAGAAGTGGCCGTGACTGATAACGAAAAAAGATAATGAAATAATAACAGATAACAAAAAATATATAACGTTAACCACGTGCTTGAATATTTATCCACTACAGTGATTCGAAACTATTTCAGCTTATTTGAAACTAATTAAGATAATAGTTTCGACAAAAGCCAAAACAATTTCGGTTCACATGTATATCCATCATGAACAAGAGGAGATTAAAAGGATTGGTCAATAGATGTAGTTGTAATTTCATAAGAGTCAATTTCGGAGTAGTGATAAGGTTGTGGAGTTCTGAAAAAGAAGGAATTGCTTGAAAAGGAGCTGTTCTCGATACTAGTTGACCTAGGCTTCGGCCCACGTTTCTTAATCGGGATAATAATAATACAGCGTTCGTTATTATTTCTACAGTTTTTACAGGCGTACTCCTCAGAAAGTCTTTCACATTTTTCATGCCTTTCTTTACAAAATTCACATGCTCGAGTAGCATGAGTACGTGTTCCTTGTTGAGGCATTAATTTATGCGCAAAAAAAAAAAGAAAAGAAAAAAGAGAAAGGCTACCAATACGATAACAGTAGTGAATTTTACGATATAATAAAGAATAAATATTAAATAAATATTAAATAGTGATAGTGAGGGTTGAAAAGGCTCAATTTGAAGGAATCGTAAAGAAATTTCATGATTGAAGGAGATTCTGAAGGAGATTATATATTTTTTACGTTTTGTATATTTAGTCCGTGCTTTTGAAAAATATACACCTAGTGCAATATAAAAAATTTTATATTAACAAAAGCTATTGTAAACAAAATAAATAAATAAAATTTTAGGGTGTATAACTGATAAATCAGTTAATCGTTATTTAATCGAAAACTCAATACGATCGGCAACTAATCGTCTAGTCGATTAGTTGTCATATGTACCCATATGTACCGCAGTTTGTTAATTGAAATTTATATACTTTTTTGATACACATGATAACAAATACGATTATAATTTTAATAAAAATTTCAAGAATTATGGTCACTATATAGTTCTTTGGTATCATTTCTGGTTTCATAAAAAAAATATAGAAATAGAAGAAATTATATTCAAAAGTGATATCCAGTATAAAGAAATAACAGTTAAACAAGTAGATACTATAAAAAATGATCAATATAAATTTTATAGAAATGGTGAATTGATGCTTAAAAATGATCATTTAAGAAAACAAACCAAAATAGCTAACAAATCTATTGTAAGTAGCGAAAGAGTGTTTGAAAATGATAGAGAAGACCAGACACCTGAGATAATTGAGTTATCAAGTAATGAAGATGACCAAACACCTGAAGTAATTGAGTTATCAAGTGATAAAGACAACCAGATACCTGAAATAATTGAGTTATCAAGTGATGAAGTGATTGAAAAAGACCAAATAGCTGTTTTCAGAGATCAAACTCCTGAAACAGATGTAATAAACTATTTGAATATGTAGTATAACTTATCTTAGTTAAAACTATTTTACATTCGTGTCATTTTATTTTTATTTATTCTTGTAACATTGCATGAATATAGGATAAAGTAAAATTTTAATCAGTAAAAGTTCATTATCGTTATCTTTTATAATCAAACCATTTAACTGTAAAAAATAATATATTTTAATTAATAAAATGAAAAATCTAACGTTATTACTCTGAAAAGGTAACTTTCAATAAACATCTTTATAGGATTTAAAAATGTTAATACTACGGGAGGAATTAAAGGCGAAGTAAAGTCTTTTTTTTATAATCATTTAATATAGAGTGCAGATCCGAAAAATTTTATTATAAAAAATCTTTATTAGTGATTATCACTATATCATCTGCACTATGTTTGTAATTTGACTTATGGTATACACCCTAGTAACCGATCAAAAGAGGTTTCTCAACAAATCACACTGTTGTGCAAGATCATGTGATCCAATTGCGCCATAATTTTAGCGATAATCAAATAAAAAAAAAATTTATTTTAAAATAACTTATCGCTAAGAAGATATTGAACTTAACTTTTTTCTTTCAAGTGATGCAAAATTTTTGGCCGCCACTGTACTAACAAACCCGCACTCCTTGCACATTCTTATCTATAGACCTAAACTTATATCAACGATTAATAAACCCAGTACGCTTAAAAACCAAACGAATTCAAAATATCTGATATCAGATATAGTATCTTAAACTCAATTCTCTATTACAGACAAGCCGTTTCATTTAAATATCGAGACTTCTATCACTAAATATATCTTTTTTATTAGAAACTGTTTTGTTTTGTCAATATTTAAAATTCAAAAAGAGCTTTACTTCGTTACTTATTTCAAAAAGTCGCTACTAATCCAACATTATTTAAATTAGAGATTATTGGAGATTATTTTAAAGGCAGTCTATCGACAGTCTAACGAAGCAATCTACACAGATTTTTTCTAATACTATACTGAAAGGCTTGGAAATTTAATTTTAGACTTTAAGACTTAAAGTATAGAATAATTAAATTGCATTTCAGGAACATTATTTGGTTACTTTATAGTAAATTATTAACATTCTAATTTGAAAGTTTCGGAAAGGTTTCGGGTCACAAGTATAGTATGTAATATTGGATTTTTTAAAAAGTATCTAAAGCATATCGATATAAAATAAATTACCCGGGAAATTGATTTACATCAGTCAATCAAACAAACTTCGCCTATGAACCTAACAAAAAACAAAACATAACGATAATCACTCTTACCCATAAAAGGATACATAACTTATATGATCTACTCTGAGTCATCTAATCTTAAAAAATGAACGCTTTGTCACTTCGTTGACAAGCTTCTTTATAAATTAGCTAACGTTAATTGAGATGAAAGTTTACTATGCTGAACATCCGGATTCCAATATTATATAATCTATAAAAGATTTTTGGTAGCAGATGTCAATTCGGATATCCGGATTGACATCCGGATCCCAACACTACAAATAAATAGCGTTAAAAAGTCTTCATAAAAAAATAAAAAATAAAAATAAAAAAAATCTCATATATGTATGCGGCTTAAAAGTTCATTTTACGCTATGATAAATGTAAAATTTATCGTAGAACATATGATACACGTGAATCATACAGTATTACACTGTGCTGAAAACATAATTGAAATGTTTCCAGTAGTATTAGGAAAGTATAGCAAAGCACATGATCCACTATTTATGTGTTAGATCATTTAATTACTTTTAAAATTTATTAAAAAATTTTAATTAATATTTTACTATATTATCATAATTTATTCTTACATCTTTAAAACTTTGATTTACATAGATTCAATTTTTTACTTTCTTTTTACACTCAGGAAAATGTTTATGTACAATATTTTTTACTCATGATAAAAAGAAAGGGTTATAACGACAAAGGCCAGTAATAGCATAAAAATATTTGTGATAAAAATTTCTGAAAAGAAAAATATTTATAGTGAAGAAAAAAAGAAAGTACCCTTAATGGCATAAAAATGTTTGATAAAATTTTCTAAGAGAATTATAACGAAAAATGAGAATATTAATAGCGAATGTTTATTATGAAAAAAGGGGATTTTTATAGAGAAAACTGCTCGAACAAAAAATAAAGTTCATAATAAAAAACGAAAATTTATAATAAATAATTGTAAAAATTGTTTCATAGTGACAGGCCGAATTAAATTAATCATGGGCCAAAATTAAACGGTTAATACTAGTGATACGGGTCGATGAAAATTTCTTGGGCCTCGACCCCGGCCAAAAAAACTCGGGCGGGTCATCCGGGTCGACCTTTCTACTAGAGTTCAGTTTCGAATCTCATCGTCGAGTCAAGGTTAGTTAGCGTATGAGAATCACTATAATATGTGAAGAGAAGAGAAATTATTAATGAAAAACAGATAAAATTTACAAAAAAAATTAACCAAAAAGTCGCGAAAAAATCGGAATCGAATAAAAAAAAAGGAGAGATCAAAAAAAACTCGGTTTCGAAAAAAGTAATTGAGGAAGTAATTGTACTTGACTATGTCAAACTTCATTTATTGACCGTTTCCAACCATCATCTATATTGCCAGAATAATTTGATTTTATGTCGACCCGGCTGGCCCACAAAGGTGCGGGCTGAGGGTCGACCCGCTCATCGATCCGGCCGTTGGGCTGAGGTCAGCCCGTATCACTATGTATGATTCATAAAAAATATTGATTGCCTGTCCAAATATCGATATTTTTTATAGTCCCTAATATGATGCAAGAATACATCTGAGGCACAACATATATATTAATAAAAATAACTTTTTGATCACTTTTATTTATTTTTATTATTTAATATAAGTTTGGTTACCTTTTAATCATTTCACATTTGTCAGTTTCGCCAATTTTTACTAGTTTCGCTACCTTTCAGCAGTTTCGCCACCTTTTATTAGTTTTGTCAGTTTCGCAGTTTTGCCATTTCAAATTTTTTTTCACGAAAGACGAAATTAGGTTTTGCCTAACAACTATACGCTTATATTAGTTGAATATCTCAATATTTTTAGTTCTGACACGACGGGGTGTTGTGGTTGGCTTGTTTAATTTTGGGATGATTGACGTTAACAAACCAATCAACATTTGAACGATCTTATTGCTACACCACTTTATGATTAGATTTAAGAACTCTCTTTATTAAATGGAACAGCTTTTATTTTATATATTAAGAAGCCTGAGGTTTCACACAACTTTTTTGGTATAATTTATTAAATGAGATAATCAATAACACCTGAAAAAAAAAAAAATACTAAAATTAAAAACATAGAATGTGCTTTGACGATTTAAAATTAATGTTAAAAATTTTGTGTTAGGGTTAAATAAGAAAGGTTTTCTTAAGTGCAGAGTATTATTACTTAAAGCACTTAACACCAATTGCCTAGCTAATTTTTTGGGAAATTGCAATTATGATACGCATTTTAGTAAACGTAATCAGATAATTTTGGAAAATTTGAATTAATTTACATTATACTATGAAGTAAAATATTTTTGATAAGAATAACTTATGTGAAAAAGAAGATGATGAATTCTCATATAATTTTACTAAAAAGAATTATTAATCCTTTAGTATTTCATCATTTTTAATCTTTGAATATTCATAAAATCTACTGTTAACATCATTACTATAAAGGAAGTCAACATTAGTGACATAATCTTGAAGAAACAATTCCAAAGCTTTATGCCGTTGTTCAATTGCATTTATTCGATCTTCAATTCGTTCAGG